GCCAAAATTGCAAGTATTTCAAAATTTGACTTTGGTGGAATGGGTGCCTTTTCACCCAATACAATTTTTAAATACCTGCCATTTTGGCTAGGTGTGACGTATCGACTTCAGGTTTGCACCATTACTTATGTCTTGACAAATCCTTCATAATGAGGGGTCACTATAGGGGTTGCCGTTTGAAAAAAATAAGTCTCCCCCTACCCTGTTAAATATTTTGATGTAAAAAATTGCGGATCCTTTGTTAAGAACCAATGTCACAAACAGAATATTTCTATCTATTTCGGTTTAAAAATACAGATTTGTTTCAATACTTAATTTATACACTGTATAACAATAATATTTAATGATAATTCATATATTTATCAATAAATTGCTATGTGTATTTTGATAAACATTGAAAACCCATGATGTTTTCCACAGAGATATATAGAGGAACTTGCAGGTGTGTAGACTTCAGTGTTTAGGGTGGGGCGTGGGATAAAGAGGGATTATTATCCTTTCCCTGAAGATTTATTTCCATCGGCGAAAAAAACCGAGAGGGACATTGTGGAATTTTCCCACTATCATTGGGAGAAAAATAGCATTTTTCTGTCCAATATATCATAAGTTAACATAGGTTTTTGTTTTATAATTTTTATTCTTCATAATATTATAAATGTAAACTGACTGATTTGTTATTTGATGATAAAAGTATCGCTCAAGTATTTACAGAGAAAGAATTATGTGATTTTCAGTTCTTCAAAGTCCAGTTGTGAAAATGTTTTCTAACTATTAAAAACTTACTCCAGGGAATTATTGGTGTCCATTTTGGTAAATGAATTGTAATATGATTAGACAGGTGAGAATCAGAGTGGTTAGAATACATTTTAGCATCAGGCTTGAGTTGTACCAAATATGAAGAGATTTTACTTTGAATTATTTTCTTTTTTTAAAATCTGAATGTGTCTTGAGGTTTGATATTTAGAATTATAGTTAAAAGAGAGGACAACTTTGTTAAATACTTTGATAGAGAGAAAATATCATTAAATAATCAAGAACAAAATAATTGTACAACCTTTTTTTATTGTTTCAACATGAACACTGAACATTAAAACCAACAATTATACAACAGCACATGTTAATATTCTGAAATTCCAAAACATGTGTTGGAGCTAAACTAATGGCACAAATATTGAAATGTCAAAACCGTTATGTCTTATCAATAGAATACTTTACAGTAATTTATTGGGGAAATGTAAGAACAATTTTAAATAAACGGATTTTCGAATAATGCAGTTAAAAGAGTTTTATGATCAACCGTGATATCGAGATAATCAAGTTATTCTATAAATAAACGGAGTTGAGAAAAGTTAAAGAATCCTGGGACCGAGAGAAAATATTAGTTTCCTCCAGTAATCAAATTAAAATCTGCGAGCGAATTCTCTTTCTCGTTTATTAGGACATTTTTACATTCACTTTTATAACTGTTACATGTAAATATACTCTGCCTGAAGAAACTGATATATTTTTAAGCACATGCAATAAATCGAAATTGATTACGTTGTATAAAATTCAAATTTGTTCTTGAAATTCAACTCTTCCGAGCTGATAAAACCATTCACAATAGCTATTCACATCATTTTTTTTAGTCTGTAAAGAATCTTAGGTTGAATATTGGATCAACTGTTAAAACGTATTGTTATCATTGATAAACATTTTTTTCTTTAGTCAATACATTGCCCATCCTTCTTGCCACATGTGATAATTAAGTGTGAATAGATTTTGTTCTAATAAATTTCGGTAAAAGTAGGGTTCCCCAATACACATAATTCCTTATTCATTGTTGTAACGCCAGCCAGGATTATTTAAACATTTACATTCAATCATAGTAGTATCAATAGATGGACAATCAGTACTTATTCATACTTCAAACTACCTTGATCAAAGGGTATGTTGATAAGTGTATGTCATAAGTGTATGTTCATAAGGGTCCTGCACACTACAAGATATTTGAACAGCTACATTCAATTCCAACTACGTCACATCCAGCCGGTCAAATCAAATAGTACTTGCATCAAAGTCATGTTTCCTTACCTTTGTTCTTGTCCACATATTATCTAAGACAATAGGAACAGTCACACAATGGGGTCAGCCTTCCCCTGAGGGAAATGGTAGTTTGAGAGCTACACTTATGAATATGTTCTAATTAAATCTGATTACGAATAAAATACGTTCTTGTCACAAAGTGTTCCAATATTTTGCCTTTCCGCAATATTTTTGTCGAAACGAAAGTAGACCTTTCAAGACAGTATGGATTAAAAGTTGTACAAAGAGACACATGCCCAAATTGAGCATTTGTTTAGGGTTCAAAACTAATTCTTAACCTTTAAATGTCCATTGAATTCTTTTTTTTAGTTGAAATTTTCAAACTTGCAATTTAATCTATTAAAGAATTTAGTGTCTATCTGGTTTAGCTGATTTCTAGAGTTCACTTTCAAAGATCTATATAGGCTGAAAAGGTATGTTACAATGAAGCCCCTTTTTGTGCTAAGTATATATAGATTGTATGAAATAAGTATTCTACTAAAGATGAATCCTATTTCTTAGTTTGGTAATAATTTCTTACAAATAAATTTGATAAATACTTAGTTTTAGTCGCATGTATATTATATTAGTGAACTTCAGTAACAAAGATTCTTTAAGTGCGCATGTATATTATATTAGCGAACTTCAGTAACAAAGATTGTTTAAGTGCCGGTATTTTCTTCAAAAATTTATACTGTATATCTGCTATGTATTATTTTGAATTATGGTTAAAATTAAATCAATCTAATCTCATCAATTGATTTTAACTGAATATGTGCAAAAAGAGATTTATAAAACAAAATATTGAACAATTAAACAAGCTCGATTGCACTAAGAATTACCTAGCGTAAACTTACCAATTGTTAGTGTAAAATCTAACATTTCAATTGGTTCCATAAAGTATTATATTAGTTATAATTTCATAAAAGTTAAATTTCCTACACAACCTACAAATTTCAAATTTAAAATTGCTCTTCTCGCAGAAAATCTTCTACTATACTTTGTTCCCAATTTTTAGGCGGTTTGAGGAGAAGTTCATCCACCACTTAATTTGTATTTAATGTATGTTCCTTAATCAGCTGTTGAGTAATTATTTTCAAGGTAAGATTCAAGTGAAGGGAATAAATTTCTTCCCCTGAAACCACCTAAATTTAGTGAACGGAGTATAATACAGCACATTGTGAATAATATTTAAAGTGTGTACATAGTTATCGATCACACATCCGGTAAAGCTAGATGGAGAGCTGGGGCAGGCCTTGCTGTCAGTATTGACAAAAAGATTTAGCCCAGCTCACGTATCTCAGAGAGCTCGAATCTCTCGTTTGATCATCCAACCACTCTCGATATTGGGTTTGGCACCTCGGGTAAATCGCTTACTCGCCGTCTGATTTATAAAACCCACTTCGAGTCAAGGGAGTGCGTGGTTTATATCGATACAGACTCGTTAATAATTTATATCGATACAGACTCGTTAATAATTTATTTCGAGACAGAATCGTTAAAAAATGTATATCGATACAGACTCGTTAATAATTTATATCGATACAGACTCGTTAATAATTTATATCGATACAGACTCGTTAATAGTTTATATCGAGACAGACTCGTTAATAATTTATATCGATACAGACTCGTTAATAATTTATATCGATACAGACTCGTTAATTATTTATATCGAGACAGACTCGTTAATAATTTATATCGATACAGACTCGTTAATTATTTATATCGAGACAGACTCGTTAATAATTTATATCGATACAGACTCGTTAATCATTTATATCGATACAGACTCGTTAATAATTTCTATCGATACAGACTCGTCAATTATTCATATCGATACAGACTCGTTAATTATTCATTTCCTTAAAGTTATGTTGGATTGTTAAACTACAGTATTGCCTGGACCTTTAAAATCAATTATCTTTGTAGATTAAAAATCCGGGAAAAACTTGCAAGTTGTATTGATTAAGCCATTGATCGAGTACAGAAAGTAGATCAATAATAGCTTCATTACCTAATTTAGATTTTTTATAGCTAAAATATAATCGTAAATATTAACAACCGATTAACGATCGTTTGAAGAGGTTTCTCAATTATTAAACAGTGTTATGAATAAAATTAATAAACTTTGTAATATGTTAAACGAAAATTATGAATCTGATGTACGTTAACATATTTTTGTTTAAAGTGCACATCTTTGCTATAAATTTTAAACGTCCTCCTTGCTATTTGACGTAAGGAATCGGATTTTGGGTAATTTTATAAAAACACTATTCGTGCATTTATGTATACTACAGGCCTTAAACTTCTTGTTTTCATGGCTGATACATAATTGATTCGTGTCCCCCTGTTTTCGTTTCTTCCCCACTGTAATCTTCGTTATAAGTGTTTAATTTCGAGTATTACCATCCAAACGCTGTATATTAAATTTAGTGATTTTTCCAACTAAATATTATACGTGTGTTTCTTACTATTCGAAACAATTGTCACCATTATATATTTTTTTTTAGTTTGAGGATGTTTAACAACACCAAAAATTAGATCCGTTTTATGTATTTCGTGTACGCTTTTAAAACTAAAAATGTAGAAATGGTGATTTAGTATTCCTTGTATTTATGGATATACTTTTATGTAATAAACTCTTATGTAATAACTTTTATGTAATAACTTTTTACTTGTAATACACTTGAAGGTCATTGTCTATACATTTAAAATTTATGTCATACAGTAATGAAATGAACTCCAATGCTACCTAAACAAACATTAAAGAAAAATGATATTTGTATTTTAAAATTTGCTATCGGACGGGGAAAATGCTGACAGACACTGTTCGACATGTTTCAATAACAAATACTCAGCAAAGTCTGACCGAGATTAAAATTGAAATATTTTATCAACAAAGCTCAGCTCTGATTTTCAATAATGTGTTTCAGAATGTGCACCATGTTTCTGCCAGAAATATCGAGTTTTGTGTCTGCCATGTTGTTCGCCGTACATCCCATACATACTGAGGCGGTGAGTTTTGTACTTATTTATCTCATAACTATATTTTATAGTTTATTGTTAATATTTATAAATATTTTACCTACTACAGTACTTTTATTTTGTTTATTTTACAAGGGACAACATGTATGGCTTTTCTACGTAGGTTCTACTAATAAATACGTAGGTTGAAGATTCAATAAATCAAAGACTTTTAAAGATATAACCTATCATTTTTATACATATGTATGTGTGTTGTACGTAATATTTACCTTTGGTTTGAATAACTATTTATCGTTCTTACAGGGAAAAAAATAGACAAATTTTATTAAAGAGTTTTTAATTAATTCTGAAATAATCATATTAACAATATAATGTGTAGGTTAGGATAATATCATTTTGAAGAGCTGATTAAATTCATCATTAGCTCATTCTTGACATGTAATAAATGGATTAATTATCGTTTCATTAGTTTTGTGTTATCTGTTTGAGCGTTATAATACTAAACAATGTGTTCTGGTGGTTGCTAAATAAATTACCCCCCCCCCCACCCACCCACTTTAAATTAAACTATATTGCAAGCAACAATTCTCGGAAAGTTTTTGTACAGGCAGAACAGAATTTTATCAAACAAGTACGTACTCTTTAACATTTGTGGATATTTTAGTTAGTAATCATACATAATCTCTTAATTCGGATGATATTTGAGAGACAATGGACTGTGGTATACAGGCCTGGATTATCATCATTAACCTCAACTCGGGCTTAGAGTTTGAGTGTATTAGAGTTCTCAACTTTATAATCCACCTCTCTCTGCCTCTCTAGGTGTGCTTGGTTGTGTTATATTTCGGTTTTTATCGTATTATGTTGCTGAAGTATTCATGGTTTAATATTTTTATTAGTATTTTTTACAAGTAAAAAATACATTAAACTGTACTTTTTATATGTTTATGTGAAATAAAACTCTCTTAAGTCAATTAAATTATCATTAGAAACCGAAAATGAAGGGAACATTTTAAGCAGTACAGTAGTAAACAGAATTGTACAGCCAGTTTACTAAATTTGACTATTTTCACTTAATGCAGTCATTTAATAGCAGTTAAGGAAACATTTCTTATAACTTAACTCCTAACTTAAAGACGCTAACCCCTGTTGTGCTAAAAGGGTTTGACAGCTAGAAAGGACCATTAATCTTCAATCAGAGAACTTGTATCGGAACAGGTGACCTACTCAAAAGGTCAAAATGTTAACTTAAAAAATTAACAAGAAGAAGTACGCCTCTAAATCTGAGTAGCTTATTTTAAGTTAAACTATGTATACGATTATTTTTCGCAAAATCTAGAGATTGCAGTGGTTACTGGAAGACTTTGATTCATGGAAATTTAAATTTCTTTCGCTTCAAACTACACAAATACATTTTTTTTGTTCTTTCTAAATTACGAGTTTGCAGATTTTATCTTCTCCAAGTATCAACCCAACAAAAGTAAACGAGTATTTTGTATATTGTAAATTATTTGTAACGCAATTATGTTGACACTTTTAAAGACTACTTTTTTCTCTAATCCCAATATTTTACGAATCACTCAGTTAAATTTCCAGTTAAACTGTTGATAAATCAAAGTGGTAGTAGCCTACAAGACCAAATGGTAATTCATTACACAGGTACATCCGGTACAACGTACTACACGACCACTAGATACTGTACTGAACAGGCCTCTGTTGAACATCCAATATATCTTACATGTACAGGCGCTCTGTACACCACTTACAACAGGCTACAATGTTTCTCTATGTAACCTGAATTTTTGATGAATTGATATGGGTATTAATAATTTTCTAGATTATTTCTTTCTGTTTGCAGGTGACAGGAGTCGTTGGAAGGGCGGAGACTCTTTCTTCTGTGTTTTTCTTGGTTGCGTTTATCCTATATGCGAAGTCAACAAAGAGGAAACGATCTACAGGTGTGTAAATTATGATTATTGGAAGACTAGTAGGTATAATGTCAAATATATATATTCCGTAAAGTTAATAAATCGTGCACAAATATTTGCTTTTTTTCGTCATGCAAAACAGTACAATCTTATGAACCAAGATATTTAAAGACAAAGGAAACATCAAATAATTTTGAAAAATCAAGCAATTGAAATATTATTATGTGTATTTTTCTGTCAGCATATCTAAGTGTATATTTGTTCAGAAGGAACTCAAAACCACATGAAACTAATGGGTAATGTTACATAAAGACAGATCATAAAACATTACACATTCATGTACTTAAAATACCTTTGGACTATGGTCGTTTTAAGTTTTGAGGTTGGACTTTAAACAATGATTGTCGATTGTTCCCTGGAGCAACAAAATTAAAAACAAAATTGTCTTCATTTGCTCTGTTATTTTTAAAAATTTTGATCGAATACTTATCTAATCCTTCCAAACAGCTTACTAGGTTAGAGAAAGAGAAAAAAAAGTTTAAAATAACGACAATTTAGTAAAACGCTCTCATAACAATCACAGTATATCATTCACTATGTTGTAGGATGGAGATGGCTGGGTTGTTCTATGGTGGCTGTCTCGACCATAACAATCGCTGTATATTATTCACTATGTTTTAGGTTGGAGATGGCTGGGTTGTTCTATGGTGGCTGTCACGACCATAACAATCACTGTATATCATTCACTATGTTGTAGGATGGAGATGGCTGGGTTGTTCTATGGTGGCTGTCACGACCATAACAATCACTGTATATCATTCACTATGTTGTAGGATGGAGATGGCTGGGTTGTTCTATGGTGGCTGTCACGACCGCAATGTTGTGCAAAGAACAAGGCATTACCATTACTGGCATCTGTGTCGTCTATGAGCTGTTTGTGGCTCAGAAGGTGAGTCGAGTGTCTTTTACTTTCTATAGTTACCTACACTTGGCAAAAACTGCTTTGTGTTTAAGTATTATAGAGATTGAGCTAATGTTAACACGCCAAACGTCTTCTTTATACTTAAAGTAGAATATATGTAAAATGTATTGATAGTAAAAAGCTCAAATGCCTACCGCTTGCAGTTTTTTTATTAATAAAGATTTCATTCCGAAAATCCATACATGATCAGGTTTCATTAAATAGGTTTAATTATTTTAATTCAAAGCTTAATCCCCGGTGTGTTTAAAATGTTGCTGTAATTAACTTGTATATACTCGGGTCTTCATTAAAAGCCGGTCAAATTAATTTTAGTCCGTGGTCAAAGTGTTCATTTGCATCACAGATAAATTAAATCATTATTTAGCTGGTTACCAGCGTTTTCCTTATTAAATAGAATCTAACTACATTTATATATATATATATATTAATAAATTGGTGTTTGTACTTAAAAAGGATTAGAGAGTTCAAATTTTTTATGTGGTGTTAACGAGAAGGTTTAATAATGTTTTGAATATCGGATGAGTTACTTAAAATTTTTCAAGTGGTTTTTGTACAGGGTGGGGTAGCATAACTTCCTTTTTTCAAAGCTTAATAAAACTCATTGTATGAGTCAGACAAACTTTATTTGGTTTTTACAATGTAAGAACATTCCTAAAGTTTTGTTTTACGTAGTTTTGAAGAGTAAATCATGCAGGTGACGTCCCCCATTCTAGATACATTGAATGTACCGATTTGTGGTGTTTGTCCTTACCCTTTCAAGCATAGAAGGTGTTATGTTGGCAATTTCTTCCTGGATCTTGTTTTTTTATCTTGAAGGGTCCTTGGACGGTCCACATAACCGCGGGACCTCAGAAAACTCCATGGGAAAAATGCAAGGGGACAAATTGGGAGATTGAGCCGGCCATTGCAAATCACCCCTCATCGAAATAAGGCGTTTTTGACAGTTCCTGCACAATCGCCATCTTCTATGGATGGAAATGTAGGTCATCATGGCAAACTCTCGTTACAAAACGATTGGAAAAACCCAAAAAATTCCAAGGGCAGACGTATGTTTGAGCGCTGGACGCCTTGTGACCGCAACATTAAAGCTCTCACTGCATCAATGTTCTCAGGTGATCTAATGGACCGTGGGACCCCAGTTTTTCGTTTTGTTGCACTTGCAGTTTGTATAAACGTATTGAACCACAAAACAATTAATTTCCGGTCCGGAAAAGGGGCCAACAGGGCTAAATTAAACCGAATCCAAAAGGCGCGCTGGGCTGCGATCACTGAACATCCACTGGAAATGTAGGCCTCAACGGCAAACTGAAACGCACACTCTTCACTGTTCCAACCCATAATGGCGACTAAACTGTGCAAGAACAAAACTTTATAACCTCCTCTCTCGAACGAGACTGCTAGCTCTTCGCTATGACATGAACAAACAAAATGGCGCACATTTAAAAAAAGGAAGTTATGCTGCCCCACCCTGTATAACACAATATTTGAAAAAGAGAAAATGTAATGAATTTGAGGTGTAGTTGATTCTTTAGTAAACGGTTGAAATGTTTGAGTATAATCAGTACAGAGGTATATTGAACGTATTCCTGTTATTACATAATTTATTTCCACAGGATTGTATGTATGAGTTGCACGTCCAAGTATTGTGAGCCTGTATAGTCGTATTGCCTGTATAGTCGTATTGCCTGTATAGTCGTATTGCCTGTATAGTCGTATTGCCTGTATAGTCGTATTGCCTGTATAGTCGTATTGCCTGTATCGTGTTACGTCTCACAGACCAATCAGTGGTTGTATCCTCTCAGATTGGATCTACTGTGTTTCATTATCAGCTTGTTCTGCTGCTGGCTCGTCCACTAGTGGGTCTGTATTAAATCATGTATCGGTCTGTGTGATTGGCAAATAGCTTCGATCCAATTACTGGACCACTCTCCGACTAAACGTTGTACCTTGTGGGAGAGTTAATAGACTTCGATTAGACGGAAATGTTAACTATTATGATGTAAAACATGAAAATTTGAATTATTTGCTCATTAATCATAGGTATAAAGATTTGTACCTATAAGAATGATTTAGAGTAGGAGTATACATGCACCAATGGATGTATTAAAAAGAAGGGAATGAATGTGATTTAACGATAGGAGAGTTAATAGTTGAGATAAAAAAGAGGGAAAAGAGAAAGGGTAATAGTTTGAAGGACCACAGGGGTATAATGTTGAGAAAGAGAAATATTGAAATTACTAGAAAATATGAGTGAGAAAAATGAACACACTTATTAATAATTACAAAAGAAAAGAAACAATTTTAAACATTACAAAAGAACAAGATCCTGTTTTATTTACGCTTGTGTGCTACTTATGTTAACATTACAATAATAAGGAATAATTTAATATAACAACAAACACATGTTGCTGAAAGAGTTCGTTTTAAGTAAAAACAGAGGATGAAATAAAATGTTCAAGTTTACTGAATGCTTAGAGCTTATAATTGTTTAGTATCATTTCTAATTGGTATGAGTACATTTGTAAAAATGACATTAATTGATTTACAACTCATAAACTAATAATTAATAATTGAAAGGTAGGCTGATCCTCTTTAATTTAGTACATCACTCTTTAAATGCAACATTTTAACGTATTGAATGTAGTTTCTATTAATTTCACAAATGATGTTATACTCTCAACCAAAAATATTATTGTTCTATTTACACTTCTAGCGGATGTAATGAGTGCACTAAAATGAATTTAGTTAATTTACAAGGAGAGAAATTTAGTATAACCATTGCTTTAAGTGGTGAATTAGGTGTAATGTAATGAAACCAGTAAACTGTATAGCCTAGGTTGATAGGGCTACTAAAATAATAAACAACTAATTATTATTGAAATGGAATGAATGTGAAAGTGTAGTGGCACCACACTTATCACAAAGTGAATTGAAATTCCTGTATACACTTCTATTAATATTGATTGCAAACTTTTCCACTGACTAGAGTTAATGATGAGTCCTGCCTTCCTTGTCCACTTCCTAAGACACAGTTAAGGTCTGCCATTGTCAGTGACAGCGTATCAATACCTGATAGATCCATTGTGGCGCTATTGAGACGGTTCCGTTCTCGTTCAGCCTGACACTATTGTCGCGTGTATTGGTTGATACAATATTGAACACTGCTCAGAAATTCTCTTGTGATTGTCAAAGTTAATTTCGTACCTTGTAATAAACGATGGCAGACGTCATTGTAGTATGAAAGACATGTGTCCCCTAACAACGCATGTTTATAAGTATTAATTGTAGCCAGTATTTGGAGATGTAACAGTATAGGTACAGGGTGTCCACAAAATATTCGTTCATTTTCATACTTAAACCCATATGTTACGTTTGCATGTAAGCATATGATATTCTACCTGTGTTTTTTGTTTTAGACATAGCTTGAGTACCTATAGTTTTACTCACGATTGGTCGAGTCTATTGATTTAAATTTATATTGTTTAAAGCGGTGGGTAGGGATTGATTAAAATGATGAATTAGAATGATCTTGCAATAAACTAAGTATATTGTGTAATCTAAACTGAGGGAGGAAACGATAGTTTTGCCAATAGCAGAAAACATAATATGACATAGAGTGGTTAATAAGCCAGTTACAAATCAAATACAAGACAATATGTATAACATCCATCTTCTTTTGGGAAAATTAATAACTAAATTATCTGCATCAATAAAACAAAAATATCTAAATCATCCTAAGATGTAATACAAACAAATAATTACAGGCTTATCTGTCGCTTTAGTATACAACATAACATATGAATTAAAAAACAACTTTTTTCATAAGTTTAACCTAGTATGCCTGACTATTTATTAGCTCAAATTGGTTTCTATAAGCTTATGATGTCTGTAACTTGTCTAAAGTTTGAGTGGCCCCAATTCAGCCTTATAGTGTAATAAGTCGGTGACATACTCTTTGACTGAATTATTCTATACTTCCATTAAGTTGTCATTATTATGGAAAGGAGTAGATTTTTTCTGGCTTTCAGAAGTAAAATGTTTGATACCTGACAAAAGGCTTGAAATCATGCTCATCTTGATAAGAGCAGGTCTGGTGATGGAAAATTTATTTATGTTCTCCATTAGTGTATAGGTCTAGTTGGCTATTGTAAATGTGCGGCTGTACTAAATTCAACGATGGTTACAACATTAGTTATCTAGAGTATGTCCCATCAAGAGGCCCCACTCTGATCATAGATTCGTTTGACCTGGAACTGTTAGCGGACACAGCCATAATGTGTCAGGAAGAGATAATTTATCAAAGAACCAACAACAAAATCGTTTAGAATATGTCCCACTAATGGGGCCCCACTTTGTTCATGGACCTTTTTGACCTTGAACTGTTGGTGGACACAGCAATAATGTGTCAGGAAGAAATCATTTATCAAAGAACCAACAACAAAATCGTTAAGAATATGTCCCACAAATGGGACCCCAATCTGGTCACAGAACTATTCAATCTGGAACTGTAAGCGGACACAGAAATAATGTGTCAGGAAGAGATAATTCATCAAAGAACCAACAACAAAATCGTTAAGAATATGTCCCACTAATGGGGCCCCAATCTGGTCATGGAACTATTTGATCTGGAACTGTAAGCGGACACAGAAATAATGTGTCAGGAAGAGATAATTCATCAAAGAACCAACAACAAAATCGTTAAGAATATGTCCAACTAATGGGGCCCCAATCTGGTCATGGAACTATTTGATCTGGAACTGTAATCGGACACAGAAATAATGTGTCAGGAAGAGATAATTCATCAAAGAACCAACAACAAAATCTTTATGAATATGTCCCACTAATGGGACCCCACTCAGGACTAAAACTGTTTGATTTTAAACTGTTAGCGGACACAGAAATAATGTGTCAGGAAGAGATAATTCATCAAAGAACCAACAACAAAATCGTTAAGAATATGTCCAACT